TCAGCAATAAACCAGTTTAGTTGAAAGCTTCCCGTGCGCAGGCTTTCAGCAATAAACCACTTTAGTTGAAAGCTTCCCGTGCACCGGCTTTCAGCAATAAACCAGTTTAGTTGAAAGCTTTCCATGCACCGGCTTTCAGCAATAAACCAGTTTAGTTGAAAGCTTCCCGTGCGCAGGCTTTCAGCAATAAACCAGTTTAGTTGAAAGCTTCCCGTGCGCAGGCTTTCAGCAATAAACCAGTTTAGTTGAAAGCTTCCCGTGCACCGGCTTTCAGCACTAAACCAGTTTAGTTGAAAGCTTCCCGTGCGCAGGCTTTCAGCAATAAACCAGTTTAGTTGAAAGCTTCCCGTGCACCGGCTTTCAGCAATAAACCAGTTTAGTTGAAAGCTTCCCGTGCGCAGGCTTTCAGCAATAAACCAGTTTAGTTGAAAGCTTCCCATGCGCAGGCTTTCAGCAATAGACCAGTTGAGTTAAAAGATTCCTGTGCCTAGGATTTCAGCGATAAACCAGTTTAGTTCACGTCTGTATCTGGTCTGTTTTGGCGCCCGAAAACCTACTCGTTCCTTAAGAACAACCTAAAGTTTTGAATGCCGATTCAAATGTCGAGAAAGACGCTTGATATCCTTCTCGTTCTCCCCCCCCCCGTCCTTTTCTCTCCCTTTTCCCAGCGCGAACGTCGGGAAAGGCGCCAGCGGCATGGCGGACACGGAGCAGAACCTCAGCCTGGCCGACGCACTGACCGAGCCCCCGCCGCAAATCGAGGAGGAGGTGAAGCGGGATTTCATGGCCAGCCTGGAGGCCGAGAAGTTTGACGACGTGATCGGGGAGAAGGTGGGCAAGACGGATTACGTCCCGCTCCTGGACGATGAGGACGGCGACGGCGGCGGTCCGAAGGCCGAGAACCAGGAGGCGAAAGCCAAACCGCGGGCCGAGAACCTTCCTCGGGAGCGTGAGTGTCGCCGCGCGGCCGGGGGTTGGGTTGGGCATAAAGCGGGACGAGGGTGACGTCGAGAAGTTGGGCTCCGTTCTCGTCGGCCGGGGCCAAGCGGTTGTCCTCAACTTTATGACCAGAATTGAGCCCCTCCCTTCCGTTTCCGTGGATAAACAGGAGGTTTTGCCTTAACTTACGACCGAGTTTTTTTGGGGTCGTTAAGTGAATCGGTAAAACCGAGCTCCCCCCCTCCCCCTGTTGACTTTGCTTGAGATTTCTGTGGCTAATCGGGGAACGTGGCCCTGTTTTACGACCTCACTTGCCCCGGTCGCTAACTGAATCGCTGCAGCGGTTCAATTTTGAAGAAGAGACCGGACAGCCGTTTGTCTGAAATGGCCTATAGGTAGGGTTTCCTGCCTGAGCAGGGGGTTGGACTAGATGACCTCCAAGGTCCCTTCCAACTACTACTACTATTTCTTGTTCTTTTTTTCTTTCCTCCTTCTTCATTTCTTCTTCTCGTCTTTTCTTCTTTCCTTTTCTTCTTCGTTTCTTCTCTTGTCTTTCCTTCTTTTCTTCTCCTTTTCTTCTTTCCTTCTTTTTCTTTGTATCTTCTTTTCTCCTTTCCTTCTTCTGTTTTTCTTTTCTTTTTCTTCTTTCATTCTTGTTTCTTCTTTCCTTCTTTCCTTCTCCTTTCCTTCTCCTTTCTTTCTTTTTCTTCTTTTCTTTCCTTCTTTTCTTCTTTCCTTCTTCTCTTCTT